ACTATTTCATATTTATTAGACATACAAAATGAGAAAAAAAGTTTCATAGTTTTGAAAACAACAAATAAATGCTACAAAACAAAATATTCATTATAAATCTAAAAGTCAAAATAATAGATTAAAAAGCTTTTCACAAAATTTATAATTAACTTACTCCATGAACTAACAGAACCATGCATTGATAGATTTTTTTTATCGGTTGTCTCTTGTTGTTTAGGTGGATTCTAAAATCAATAAATTTTTATATGTATCAATAAAAATGAATAAGTTTATCAATAAAATACCAAATGAAAATTCAATGGTACCTAAAAGAAAAACTTATTTATATATAAAACAATTTTTTTTTTGTATTCATACATTTTGTATCGATGATGATGATAAATTTTCATAGATCGTTTCTAATTTTTGTGCAGGCTTATTATTGAAGGTATTATATCCTAAAAAGTTAGCCATACGAGCTGGATTATATTCAATGACACTTGATACACTTGATATTTGTGTTTTTTGTTGAGATAAAGAAGATCCAGAATTGGAAAGATCTTCATAAAATCAACAAAAACAATATATTAATCTATTATTAAAAAGCTCCTACCAAAACTTTGTGACCTTGGCATTTCATTTCCAAGTGTTTCGGCAATTAATTCTTCAAATGGATTCATTTATTAATAAATCTAGAAATAAAACTATGATAAATGTTACTTTATCTATCAGTAAAATATAGAATTTTTTTGAAATAATAGCTCATTCATTTAATTCTTCGAAATCTATGAATAACATCACAATAAAATTACATTGTTAGAATATTGAAGACGACATACAAGACTTATTTTGAATATGGACAATATATGTTTTCTTTCCTCTAATGTGTTTTTTGAATAGTAAATAACGGACGAGACAGAAACGATAAGAGAAAATAACTGATATTGCCTGCCATTAAAACTTTAATACAGTCAAATTTAGAAATTGATTTTATTATTGTTTGTTCTTTATATTGTCTTTTATGTAAATCTGTAGCCGAAATACGAAAAAAGACTGTCGCTTTACTTGACATATTCTAAAACTCATCTTGCATCGTTTGTTACGAATACCAGATATATAAAAAAAACATAAAAAAAAAAGCAAATTTTTCATTTCATCAACAAATATTTAAGCTTCGAAAGTAGTGTAATTACGAAAACCTTGACCCACAGTTCTCCGTTGAGGGACATCGTGAAAAATTAATTTGTTTTGTATTGAATTTTCATGAAAATCAAACAGTAAATCGAGCATCTGTTTTTTTTTTGAAGCTTAGACTTTGTTCTTTCAACATGAAAAAGTTTGACTTCTCGACGATGTTTCTCAACAGCAAAACCAAGGATTCAGACTTCGGCAATTATTTTTACATCGCAGTTTTCGCTTGTTTTTCTCTTAAGATTCGTATTTATTTTAGCGTAGTCTTCATTTCAATCTTTTGATAACGACTGGCTTTTTACTTTTACCACAATTATAATCATTTGAAATAACAGTTTTCCTCTGTATCCTCTCTTAAATTCAAAGAATATACGTTTTTTTTACATTGATTCTTCATTTACCACAAAAAAAAATATACATATAATTTTTTAAATTGAAATTTATTCTTAATCCAAAAAACAAAAAGCCTGGTTAACATCACTAATGATTCTCTTAACAACCAATCAAACAAAAACGAAAAAATAAAATAAGAAAATAGACAGTCATTTATTGATTCACAATTGCTGTGAAAGTACAGTGCGTTGAAGAGTATTCATTGTCATTGTTTTAGTATTTAAATCATTACTTGATAATGAAGGTTTTATGTCATTTGAAATTTCTTTTAATACTTTATCTAAAGCATTAATAACTTGATCGATTTGTTCTAATGTTATTGTTAATGGTGGTTCAATACGAATTGTTTTTGCATTAATTAATGTACCAGCAACAAGTATTTTTTCTCGAAATAAACCTTTTGAAACACGAAAACCAATATCTGTATCAGGAAATTCTAAAGCTAGCATTAAACCTTTACCACGAGCATCAAGTGCTATATGTGGTATATATGGTTTAATACTTGATTTAAGTTTACTTAAAAATATATCACCAATAGTTCGTGCACGTTCACAAAGATGCTCCTCTAATAAAACATGTATTGTTGCTATTGCTGCTGCACATGCTAATGGATTACCACCAAATGTTGTTGTATGTAAAAATGGATTATCAAATATTGGTTTCCATATTTTTTCTGTACCAACAAAAGCACCTTGACAACAAAAAAAAAGACAAAGATTAAAAATAAAAGTATACAGGGTGTTTCACAAGTCCCTTAAGAAAGTTTACGTAAATATCAAGATAAATTTTTATGCATATAAACATTACAATGAAAAAAGTTTTAGTAACAGCCGAATCGGAGTTACTCTTAGATGCAAAACGAAAACTGTAAGTCAAGTTTGCCAAGAACACACCAAGTGAAGATTGCATTATTGTTACATGTCAACGCTCTTGTAAAACTGATACAGTGAAAGATCAAGAATATTTTCTAAGTTTTGACAATCTTTCACTGTGCTAGTTTCACAAAAGTATTGATATATAACTTTAATACAATCTAAATTTAGTATATTTTACTAAACGTAATGGTACTTTCCTTTTTTGCAATCATAGCTGACTCAAATTTGATCACTAATAAAATTAATTTTATTCTGATGTTTATAAGCACGGACACTTATCTAGATATTGATGTTAACTTTTCTGACAAACTTCTGGAATACTTTATAAATATATAATCTATTGATTTACCTGCTGGAATAATGCCACCACCAAACGCTTTACCCAAGCATATAATATCTGGTTCAACATTCCAATGTTCAACACAAAACATTTTTCCAGTTCGTCCCATACCAGTTTGAACTTCATCGGCTATTAATAAAGCACCATATTTATCACACAAACGACGAACAGTTGGAAAATAATCATCATTTGCTACAATAACTCCACCTTCACCAAGTATTGGTTCAAGTAAAACAGCAGCTAAAGAAAAAAATTCAAATAATTATCTAATTAAAACCTAATATTAGAAATAATCATACCAGCATCGTCACCCGTAAAGTGTAAACTAGCGAATACTTGTTCAATTGCACGTAAATCATTAAATGGTACATGACGCATATGATGTAATGATGGTAAAAATGGTCTTCGAAAAACAGCTCTAAAAACGAAAATATAAATAATCAATATTTAAATTCTTCTTCTTTCATTTTTCATTTTATATTCTTTTCTTACTTTGAAGTTGCGCTTAAGGAACCTAAACTTTTTCCATGAAAACCACCTATAGCAGCAATTATTGTTCGACGACCTGTTGCAAGCATAGCCACTTTTAATGCACCTTCAACTGATTCAGTACCACTATTGGTAAAAAATGAATATTTTAAATTGCCCGGAAGTAATTCTGCTAAAATCTTCGCTAAATAACCTCGTAATGGATCAAGTAATTCTTGTGAATGTAATGCTTGACGTTGTAATTGATCATTAACTGCTTTTAATACTTTTGGATGACGATGACCAACACTAAAATAAAACACGAAACAAGTCAATGATTAAAATGAATATGATTATAAAATTCTTTTTTTTTGGTTTTTCTTACTTATAAATACCAAATCCTCCTAAACAATCGATATATTCAATGCCTTTAACACAAGTAAATGTTGAACCACTATCCGCCCATTCGACTACAATAAAAAACACAGAAAGATTAGTTTTCAAATAAAACATTTATATAATAAATTTACCTGCAACATAATCAGATGAAAATGATTTTCGATATTGTAAAAAGCCTGGATTGATATAATTATTGAAATTATCAACCGTTTCATCGATTAAGTGTTGCTTTTCTATATATATATGAAAAACACAAGATTTCGGTTTTTCTATTAATTTTCAATAGAATAATCAAATCTTACCATCGTCATTTAGATCACGTTTAGCAATCATATCAAGTAAACGTTGTGTTTCTTGAAGTACAGTTTTTTCCATTTTAATTATTTAAATCAATTAATAAATGTAATATATAAAGCTTAATATGTTGACATATAAATGTACGAGACTTAAGACCACCTCTTGTAAATTGAAATATGTTTGAAACGGATTCCGTATAAACTTCCACCATTAAGTCTTGTGGCAACTCGTCAACTCTCTTCTCTGTCGGTTTGTTAATTAATTAAGAGAAATGGCACGAGAAGTAATAGAATTTAGAAGTGAATATCTGTACATTGAAATTCTCGTCCTTATATAGATAGTTTTCGATGAGAAAAAAAAAAGAAGAAGAAACGTTATCAGTGGGTGTTTCAATTGTAAGAATTGATTGTGTGAAGATCAACATCTGTTAAATTTAAGCAAATTGAAAAGGGTTATAACCCATTAGACACACCTATTTTGAGAGAGAGAGAAAGATAAAACATTGAGAAAGAGAGAAAAATAGCTTTGTTAAAACCCCTCTCGGGGGCAAACTTTACTAAATCCTTTAAGGTTATTTTTCAACCACTAAAATGATTTCGACTGTAATGTATATTTTATTTTTTATCGATATTCTGCGAACATAGTATTCGAGGGTCTACATAATCGTATGCCATTTTGCCCTTTGGTTACAGGTTATAATTTAAGGTTTCCTTATTAATTTTTAAGTTTTGTCTCAAATTACATATACAACTATGAAGAAGTCGATTGATTTAATGATAAAAAATTCAGTAGAATTAACTAGTTGTCAAAAATATACAATTTGTGATAATTCGGTTTAGTAAGACGAGCGCGAAATTTTTATGTTTATATTTGAAGGAAGTTTTTCTGAAACATTAGCATAGTGGTGAAGTCAGGTAGTTACTCAGCTCCTTTTAGTAGACTCCGTAGGATTGATACTAGACTCGACTTGGTTCGGGTTTGAAAATTATGGATCTGATGAGTTCTAATCATCTGAGAAATGTGTAAAGTGCACTATTTATTGAATACAAAAAGTTGATAAAAAGTATCTCATATCTCCGAGGCGTCTATCCAGTTAGGACTAGAAAATATTATTGAGTATATCAAAGTACGTTTCGACTGGATTCAAATCTGAAAAATTTGAACCCGACAGACACCATCCTTCAAGGACTCTTGAACTTTCTCTAGATATGAGACGATGCTATATTACAGGTGAAGTTAATACTTGCTTTTCAGCTTCAAACGGGGTCTGAATACTACCTACATATTTTTTCGGTTTCTGTCCCGACACTAACATATCTATTTCTTTTGTTTGCAAATACAAAATCTTGATTAGTTTTAAATTTTTTTTGAACAAAAAAATCACAAGAAATTATACAGACTTTAATCAATTAAAATTTATAACGAATCGCAGTGATATGCATGATTATGTCTAATTCTGCTTTTTGAAGTGAAATATAATCTATTGGTTACATTGAAATATTAATTTAGTAAGTTTATTCAATCGAATTCTTTCAGTACAACGAAACTTTCTTGTTTTTAAATTAAAATGAAAGCATGATGTCACATAATGAACTACTGTGAATTAATCAGTTTTTCTGCTGTTTCAGCATATTTCAAATCAATTGGAAAATGATCATCGTTCACAAAAATGAATTTTTCTCTTCATTCTAATAACAATTATATACATGATAGTATTCTTTAAATTTGATAAATAAAATTTTCTAATAGATTTTAATGTCATCCGTTTTGCTGCTTTTATTTATTTAATCACAAGTATGAAGAATGAAAAAAATCTTATCTCGTACAGTACATGCAAAACTATCTAATGTCTTTAATGATCGCAGTAATTGTTTGATCTGATCATGAAATGTTATATCTCGTTTAAAATCTTCATTATCTTTATATATAAATAAGATATATTGTAAAATGGTTAAAATAATTATACGTTGTTGATCATCATTAATTTTATTTAATAATGGAATTAAAAATTTCATACATAATTCATTTGAACACCATAACCATGATTGAGAACGAGATATTAATATAAAACAACGTATTAAATCTTCTTGATCATGTGTATATCTATGATAAGCAATGAGAAGATTTTCTAAATATTCATATGATATATGAAATTTATTATTTTGTAATGTATCAAATAAAATTTGATGAAGTAAAATATTCGATGAATTTGTTTGTGAATCAATTGAAATTAATGATGAACATATATTTGAAATAAATGTTAATGCATCAATAAGAATATCATGAGATAAATAATAACCTATATCAAATAGACGAGCATATATAATTATTGATGATGTTGGAAATATGGAACATGTGAGAAAAAATAATCGACTAGAAAAAAAATAAATAAATAATAAGTTAATGAGTAAAAATATGAAAAATAAATCAATAAGGATAAAATATAGAATAGTTTTTTCGACTTTTTCTCAAGTAGAAAAGTTATTGGAGGATTATTGTAAACCTTTTGTGGCACATGATTAAATTATTGATGGTGGCTAAATATAGCTACCTATCAGAAGATATTGATTAGATTCAATATAAGATTAAATAGATTGTTTTTATTTGCTTATGTAACTTGAAAACAACAACAACCGTCTGTTTTTTTATACTTTGAAATTATTTTTTCGAATGTTTTTATTTTCTAAAAAAAACTTGAGATCTTCTTTGAACAGAAAATTTGATCAAAAGAATATTTTCATAAGACATGTAACTCGATATAATCATCGATAATGAATATTAAGAGAATATTAAGAGAATAAACAGTTTTTAGATTGATGAATGAAAATGTTTGAAGGATTTTATCAGAAATTTAGTTTTGTAAGTATCAAAAGATAGTGAATATTAATTGATGTGACTTTCATGAGAGAACTCGTTCAGCTGGTGAAAAGTACTTGAGGTAATATTTGTGTAATTAGGTAGTCTACTGAGACTAATCAATATCTATAATGACTTGTGTTCTTATTACTTTCTTTTTCATTTATCGTTAGTTTATTGAATTACTAATCTCGTTCAACGCATATCAAAGAAAAAATTCGATATCGTCATTTCGATCTATAATTTCATTCAGAAGAAATTTTTATGAATCCTGTCATATATACCGACAAATTCACCTAGAATAAATATTGTCTTCCTGAAATATCATATCCTAAACAAATGCAAATAGTTTAGAAAAATTCATTTTAACTGAAATTTTCGATGTATGATAGAGTGCATTTCAGATCGAAATAAGGATGAATGATTATAGGTTTTATTCAGTTTCATTAGACTTTATCTAATGGCACAATTCCTCAGATTAATTATTTGACACTTACTTTAAAATTTTAATACGATTATTAGATATTTGTTGTTGCTTGATTTCAAATTCAAATGCTTGTTTTAATTTTGTGATAAAATGTTGTTGAAATACTGATGATTGACTATGAATATATACTAATAATAATTTAATAGATTCTTCATATCGATGAAGATTTTTGACTAGTGGAAGTATAATATTACATCTATACATCATTAAATCACTAAAAATCCGATATATATTATCATTAAATAATAAAATATCTTCATGTAATTTTTGTTGAAGAAATTTTTGTAAATCATCATTAATTTCTTTTGAAAACGAATTAAGAAATTTTATAATTAAATCATATTCATTAGAATTTTGTTGTTGTTGTTGTTGTTGTTGTTGCGTTCTTATAGATTTCATTCGTTTTGGTATTGGTGGTAATTCTGATATTAATTCTGTTGCTGTTCGTTTTCGATTTACTATTGTTGGTTGATTACAACGTGCAATACATGTTCGTATAGAATTTAATGTTCGAGTTTGCATACGATTTGATGAACGAGATATTCGTTTAGGTGTTTGTTTAGGACGAATAACAGATGGCTTATCAACAACGGTTTTTCGTTTTCTTTTTCGTAATGGATATGGCATTGGAAGAATAAGAGGTTTTACAGGTAGATTAATTAATGTATTCAGAAGACGATTAATAAATGAAATTTGAAAAGGTTTTAATAAAGATTGTTTAGGCGTTTCTATTAACAAATAAAATAAGAATGGAATTCAAGAAACAAAAATATGATAAGAAAAATTCATTACCTAAAATTGGTGGAGGTACTGATTTTACTGATTCGTTTTTAGATGATGATGTTTGTTCGGTTTTCATTGATTCAACAATAAGCTATAATAGAAATTATAGAAAAAACAGATATTTAAATGAAATTATATAATTACCTCGAATTCTGGAGATAATGGTATCATCATCGAAGATTCGTTATTCATTGTTAATTGTTCTAAAAACAATAAAAGAAAAATATTTTATGAAAATTTTCATAAAAAAGGTACTTTACCATTAACATATTTCTCTTCAGCAGGATTTTCTTGTACTTCAGGTATGACATTAATTGTTAAATTGTATTCTTGAGAATAATGATGTTCTTCCATAGATTTGTGGTTTTCTTCTGTTAATAGAGAAACTTGATCGTTCACAATTTCGTTGCTAACTGTATCATTTTCTTCAGAAGCTTTTGGTTGTTGTTCTATTAGTATAGAAATTTGACTTTCCGGTATGTGAACAAATGTGGTAGTATTTGCTGTAATGGATTTTGGTTGTTCTTCTGTTGATACAGAAATTCGATCTTTCGATATTTCTTTCTTGATTGTACTAAGTTCTTCCGAACTTTCTAATTTTTGTTCTGTTGATCTAAAAATTTGGCTTTCCGGCGTATAAATAAATGTATTAGCATCGTCTGTACTAAATTTCGAATGTTCTGCCGTTGATATTGAAACTTGATCTTTCGGTAATTCGTTGTTCACTGTATCACTTTCTTCCGCAGTTACTGGTTGCTCTTCGATTGATATAGATACTTGATTGTTTCGTATTTCGTTAATCACTGTATTACTTTCTTCAGTATGTTTTGGTTCTTCTTCCATAGGTATGGATCTTTGGCTTTCTGGTAGGAGAATAGATATTGTATCATTCTCTGTAATGAATTTTGAATGCTCTTCCATCGATACAGAAACTTGTTCGCTCGTTATTTCATCGGTTACTGTAATATTTTCTTTAGAATCTTTTGGTTCTTCTTCCATTGGTATAGAAAGTTCATTAACCGGTATGTTATTGATTGTTGTAATAATTTCTGAAATAGCTTTTGATTCTTGTTCTATTTGTTCAGAAGTTGAATGTTCTGATAATTGAATAAGTGTTGTTTCTTCTTTTTCGTCATTTGATTTATTACTCGTTAATACTGAAACTTGTTTTTCGGAGTTCTTTTTGTGTCGAATACGACGGCGAACCAATCGTAATGGTTTTAATGGTACTGGTATTTGTGTTAGAACATTTAATAAACGGAAAAGGATTTGAATACGATTTGAATCAAGAGTATTTACAATATTGGATGATGTTATTTGTTGTTTATCATTTATTAACGAATCTTGAGTATTTTCAACGATTGTTTCAATTTGTTTGTTTGATGATAAAGATTGTTGTAATGTATCAGTTGCAGGAATATGAGTTATTGATTGTTTATCTGACGATGGTAACTTATTATCATTATTCATAATTGATTGATTAAAATCTAACGAAGAAATATATTCTTGATTAATAGATTGTTGTTTAGTAAAAGAAGTTGATATAGATGTACATGATTTATTATTATCATCATCATCTTCACTAAGAAATGACATATATTTTGTTGGTTTATTGAATGTATCAATATCCATTGGTGTTATACTATCAACTTGTAATGAAGAAATACTAGTTTGATTAAATGATGAAGTAAACATAGACTGTTGTTCAATAGTAGGCGATAAATTTTCATCATCACTAAGAAAGGATACGTTATTAGTAATTGATTTCGTTGGTTTTTCTACTATTGATATCGTTGAACTTATTGTTGATGATTGTAAAGTAATAGGAGTAAACATAGGTATTGATAATGATTGTGTATTTGACTTTAGTATTTTATCTTCATCTTCATCATCACTAAGAAAAGAAAATAATTGAGGAATATTTTGTTGCTGTTGTTGTGGTTGGTGATCAGATTGTGATAAAGCAATTTCAAGTTCATTAGCAAGATCATCTAATTTTATTGATGGATTTTCTGTTATGGATACATCTTTTTTTCGACGAGATTTTGTTGAAGATTTTTTTGTAGCTTTTGTTTTTGGTATTTCTTTTTTTTTCTGTTGTCGACGTGAAGACGGTTTGGAAGGTTCTTCAATAATATCTAATGATGAATTAGTTATATTTACAGATTGAGGTTGAGGTTCTGGTTCTGGTTGGGATTCAATAGTATGTCTCACATCAATAAAATCACCATTATCATCATCATCATCATCATCGTCATCGTCAGCTTGACTAATAACCGGTTTCTATAAAAAAAAAAAAGATTAAAAAACTTATAATGAAATTTAATGTTTTAAATAACTTACAGATACTTTTTTCACTGGTTTACGAATCAATTCACCTTCGATTTCTAAGAAATCTAAATATAAAAAAATGACATTAGAAAAATTTTCCAAGAAACAAAAAAAATTAATCTTACCATCATTTATATCATGCGCTTTAAGAACAGGTCGAATATTAAGAGCTGTTGGAATTTCAATTTCTAAAATTGAGTAAATGATAAATATAATATTTGAAATTTATAATAAAATCTTACTCGATGTTTGTATAAAATTCATAAGACGAGCAAGTGCTAATTTAAGTTCACGTACAGATTTTTGTGAATTAGTTAAAGCAATATCTAAATATATAAATAATAATAATTTATTTTTTAAAAAATAGAATTTTTTTTTGTTCTACCTGTTTCCGATGGTTCTTTTTTATCTTTAGTTGGCCTAAATAGAAAAAGATAAAAATAAATAAATTTTATGTTTTCAGAGAAAAAAAAAAGTTATTATTACTTATAAATAATAGGTAATTTTCTTTGTACTTGAAGTTCTAATTTTGCTATCTGTTTTTGCTGTCGACTAACAGTTTTACTTAAGTCATCATTCGTTTCTTTTAATGATTCATATTGTTTCTTAAAATAAAAACAAAAATTAATAATGAAAAAACAAACAATTCATTTCTCAGTAAAATACTTACTAAAACCATAATTTCATGATAATTATTCGTATTTTCATCTTGTAATAAACGTAATTGTTGATGTAATTCACGTTTTTCACTATTTAATATTTCAATTTGCTAAAACAAAACAAAATAAAATAACATCAAATTTTTTTCTATATAAAATTAAATTTACTTCTTTTAAATTATCACATTCTTGTGTACATTCTGTCACTTGTTTACCAAATATACAACATTCACTAAAGAACAAATAAATAAACAAATAAATATAAAATCAAAGTTTAAAATAAATATAAAAATTTTACTTTGTAATTTGTTCAATTTGTTGTTTAAGATCATCATTTTCAGTTTGTAATCTTAATAGAGCTTTATTAGCATCTTGATATTTTTGTACGATTAAACTAAAAATTATATTTTGTAAAATTTATAAATTTTTTTTTTTTAAATTAAAACTTACTCAGTAGCAATTATTTTTTTATGTAATAAATTTAAATCATGTTTTGTTACATATGTTTGTTGTTGATGATCCTAAAAAAAGAAATTAAAATTATGAAATATTATATATATGTATATAAGAGATTATTTGCAGGATTAAACAAATTTTTTTTTTTTTGATAACTATTGAATTCGGACTAGACAATCAACAATTCGAAAGTATTTAAGATAAATCCGAAATGATGAGTCTTTGTCATAAATAACAATGGATGAGTATGTATAATAACTGAAAACAATTGAATTTATTCAAGTCAAAATAAAATTTTTACTCGTAAAGTGAGAAAACATAGCCAATTGTTACACGCAGTTCGGTCTCATATGTTGTTCAACCGAAGTTATGATCGTTTCTAGTAGATCTTGGGCAGCTGGATCAACTATTCATGGAAAACTGGATTATGAAATTTTTATCTAAAATCTAGCCTATAGTAGATGTTATAGTTAGTAGAATATTCTGAAAGATTCAACTCAAACGAATGTATTAAACAACTTGATTGTATGGTTTTTCTTTTGATATATAAATATTTGATAAATACCGAGTATCTCCTCAAGAACAATACATTTGATTGACCGAAAACTTCGCATGAATAATTGACTGAGAGGACGAAAACCCACTAGAATGATCAAAGCTCTAGCTAGTTAATAAATACAATTGAGTATATTTCCTTGTATGATAGTCAAATATTTCAAATAAACTATTTTTCTTTTTAACAAATGGTATTGTAGATTTTACTCTCAAAATAATTTTTTTTTTATTTGAAACATACTCTTCCTTATGTCACTCGACTACCTGTATTCAACTATGAAGAAAAGAGACAAATAAATTCTGCTGACATTTTGAATTAATGGCGCATAACATACACTTTAAATACCTTAATATTTTAACTTAATTAGACTCAAAAATATTCAATATTCGTGACGTACCATACATACTCTTCCATTGTAAATAAATCTCCAACAAACAAACGATTAGAGACTATATAGCTTAAGGTATATCATCAAGATATTTCACACTCATCAATATTCATAGAGGTTTATTTCTTAGTCTTACTGCTAAAAAATTAATACTAACCTCAAAACCACAAATAGGCTCTCATTTGATTGAAGTTAATAAGAAAGATTCGACTGTCTCATATCCACAATAAATGTCACATATTCGACTTTTTAAATATGTAAGAGTTATACAGATGTATTTTTGTTATTTTTTATTGAAATTCTATATTAGCATAAAACAGCTAATAGTAAAAATGAAAAGAAAAACAATGTATAATATTTTCTTTTTAGTTAAATAAATCCAGATATTTCTTTAATCTTTTACTTCTTAATAGAACAGAAAAAAAACTTTTCGTCTATTAAAGAAATAAATATTGGAATTAGTCGACATTCAAGAATATTCTCCAATCAAAAATCTATATAGACTAAAAATAGAAAATTTGTTTATCCTGCATTATTATTTCAATGAAATGATTATCCACCAGCATACCTTCATGATCGTATGGGGGATTGTTGAAATTATTGACGATATATTGAATATTGTGCTAGAAAATGTTTGTTTAATAAATATATAATATCTATTTTGTCTAAATTATTTCCAGATATAAATTAGAAAATTTTACTTACTACTACAGGATAACTTAAAGTTTCAAACCAACCATTATTTAAGTCCATCATTAACAAGAAAATAATCTAGAACAAAAAGAAAACTATTATTTTGATCCGTAATCTAGTGAATCGAAGTTAAAATGTACTTTGACATACACACACACCTTTGATTGGATAAATTTTTTATAGAATGTCCGTTGAATTCTCCTATTTCCTAAGCTGAAATTCGTTTTGAGTGAAACGCAACTGTTTCTGAGAAAATTACAAGATACCTTAATAGAGGACACCACAGGTTTCTCGAATTTCGCACTTTTTTCAGAAACAGTTCCGTTTCACCCAAAACGAATTTCAGATTAGTAAATAGAAAAACTCAACGGACATTCTGTAAAAAATTTATCCAATCAAAGGTGTATGTATGTCAAAGTACATTTTGTCTTCGATTTATCGGACCACGGATCATTTCATAATTATTTTAAAGAAATAAAAAAATGATTCGATTTTCTCAGACAAATGCCTCGTTTTTTGTGTCAAAGTAAGATAAATCTTACTATTCCAACTCGTCATCTATAAGTTGTCATCATAGAAAATCATGTAGTTTTTTTTTTGTATGTTCTTCTATAGGGATTCGATCCGTGATACTATTTTTTATGTTGTACAAAATCTAACATTAAAACAGTTAGACTAAAATAGTTTCATGCTTGAGTATTATATTTAACTATGCTAAACTAAGTTATTGTTCTGCAAAATATGAAAAAGAATTTTGAAAAAATTTATGATTTATTTATCTCATAGAATTAGCCTTTGAAAGAAAGGTATATGTTAGGGAAGTAATTCTAGGTCATGTTGATTTACTTGATAATTTATTTTATTAAATAACAAAATTATATTTCGTTTTCCTAAGGTTAAATATTTGTTGTTTTAAACATTGCTCATGGTTAGAAGGGTATAAAGAAAAAATTATCTCTAGTCTATTTAAGTTGTCTTAAATCTAATATTTGCGAAAAAAATTTATGGGTTATTATTTAATCGATTTCTGTATTTTTAATACAAGGGATGTATGAAAAAAAACATAATAGTCTGAGTCTTTATTGAAATTTAAAAGATAATCTTATAATTGAGCAATAGATGAAAATTTTTTTGGTAGCATATAAAAATGAAACTGATCATTTTCTGTCAAAAAAAAACCTATTTATTAATCTTATAAATAGATAATTTCAATCTTGCCTAACTTCTAGATTCATTTCATAATAGTATTCTTTCTCTAGATAAAATTTAAAAAAATATATTAATTTTCAGAATAACGAACTTGGATTGCATATTCTATCTGATTATATTTTGCTAACGCCTATAAAAGATAAAAACTGGTTCTTGGATTTGACTTAAAAACTGTTCATAAGAGAATATCAAATCTAGAAAAAAAATATCATAAAAAAAACAAAATTTACGTCATCATTGGTTAAGTAATTTCGTAAGATATAATGTAATACGACGAATAAAACAGTACAGTCGATTTTTCCGTGAATATATATATATGTTAAAGAAACAAAGAGAATATTCCACTTGTCAATTGATGTAATGTAAGCGCTCAATGTCAGCTACTTTGTTCAGACTTCTATAATACGTTAATGAATATATATTGAAATTGTCCAGTCGAGTTTTTCTTCCTAGTTAGTATATTTGATAACCAATAGAATAATATGTCGTAGTTGTCGTTATCTTTTAACTTTAATTGTATTCATTCATTTATTATTTTCTCATCTATAAATACATCAGATCATTTGTTTACAATTTTTTTAAAATACTTATTTCAAAAATATTTCATTTATTCATTATCAACAATAAAATATATTATCCAATCAAATTCTTCCAAATGTGCATACATTGACATAGAGATATTTCGGGTATTAGTTTATAGTTTCTTCTTTTTTCTTTCAGTTTCTTTTTTATACTTTAATTGAAAATAAAAAATTTCTCTTTTATTCTCAGATGTATTCTATTTCAATTACCGGACTTTTTCTTATTCTTTTTCTTAATCTTACATATGAACAAGATCCATATACGAATGCCGGTTCTTATGAAATTCGTGAACATAGTCTTAATCGACCATATCCAGCTGGTATGTGTTTTGTTTTGTTTTTTTTTTCTTAGTATTTGATAATTTGAATGAAATATTTCTTTGTTTAGTTTTTTCTACAGCAAATTCATATTGGCATTTAACTGGTAATACATTAGTTACAGATCGATATGTTCGTTTAACATCAGATTCACAAAGTAAAGCCGGTGGTTTATGGAATACAATACCTGTAAGTTATCCTGATTGGGAAATGCATGTGCATTTTAAAGTACATGGAACTGGAAAAGAATTATTTGGTGATGGTTTTGTTATTTGGTATGTGAGAGATCCAAAACTAATGGGTAAGGCGAATCTATTCAATTTCATAATCTCCCTAACAACAAGCTACGACTATCACGATAATATTTTTGACAGATATCTTATCCCATCATGGACATCTCGAGTATTAATTACCAGTTTTGTTAAAGTCTATAAATTAGATACAATGCACATTTATAAATCTTAAATTTTGCAAAATAAAAGTAAAAATTAAAATATTGTTTTTCATAGGTCCTGTTTTTGGTTATCAAGATTATTTTCATGGATTAGCTATTCTCATGGATACATATTCGAATCATAATGGACCACATAATGTAAGTATTTATACTTGTTGTTTTACTACATATGATTTAATAAAATCTCTATTCAGCATGCTCATCCTTATATATCAGCTATGGTAAATAATGGCTCACTTCATTATGATCATGATCGTGATGGAACACATACATCTTTAGCAGGTTGTGAATCACCATTTCGTGGTCGAGACACTGATACACTTGTTGCTATACGTTATCAAAATGATCGTTTAACTGTATCAACTGATATTGAAGGAAAAAATGTTTGGAAAGAATGTTTTTCAGTATCAGATGTTCGTTTACCAACACAATATTATTTTGGTTTTTCAGCAGCAACTGGTGATTTAAGTGATAATCATGATATTATATCCGTACATACATATCAATTAGAAACAAGTGAACAACGTCGTACAGAAGATCGCCGAAATATAATACCGAATGCTCCATCAGCTGAACCCGAACGTCCACATGTTGATGATCCCAAAGGATCAGGATGGACAGCCTTAAAAATATTTTTTCTTATTATTTTCATAATTATTGTTTGTGTAGCTGTTGGTATTGGTGCATATTATTATATTAACCAACGACAATATCAACGTACACGGTTCTATTAAAATTCGTTTATTTTTCTTTTTGGTGTTAGATTCTTGTTTCGTTAGTTCTTTTTTTTTGTTAATAAATAACATAAGAAAACATGTGGGTCATTGTTTTTTTGCTTTCTTTTGTTTTTAATAACTTCCTTTTTCTTTTTATTCATTATTGAAGTTTTTTGTTTAACATTACAGTGATATACTCTCTTCCTGTCAGTCTTCTTCTTGTATCTTGCGTGTTCTGGACAAACAAAAAACCTGTAGTGTTTCTTTTTTATCTTGGAAAACTTGTTATCTCTTTTAAAAAAATGTGTATACAAAAAAACACATTGGCTGATGAACAAAAAAAGAAAAACTATCACATAAATTATTTTTATTGCACTGTTTCAGTTCATAGACTTGCATAAGAAATGTACTCTCCAACATAATAAATGTCACCATCAATGGTTACATTTCCAGATAAATATGGCTGAATAAAATTTCCAATTTTAAATTCTAATGTTGCTGGTACAATAAGAAAACCTTTTCCATCAATATAAACAGCCATTTGTTCTGATCTTATAATAGTTTGATAAAGAATAATTTCCGATGGATTTATATCTGATATACGTTCAAAATCAACTAATTGTGCACGTGATACATTTGTTAAAGATGTATTTTTTAAATGGATACTTAAGTAAACTTGAATAATTTCATCTGATATTTGTTGACCAATATTTTTAATATTAAAATAAATTGTTAAACCATCACCTGGCTGTATATTTGTTGCATTAAAACTAAGGTCATAATAGAAAAAACTTGAATAAGATAAACCATGACCAAATCGATAAAGTGGTTCAACATTTGAGTAACGATATGTAAAGCCACTTGTCATATCATATCGTGTTAAATCACCTGGCAAATCACTTAATTTTTTTGGCCATGTATAAGGTAATCGACCAAATTTTGAAATTCCATCTCCAATAATAGCCATTTTAAGTGCTTCACCTAATTCTTGTGCACCAAAACCTAATTGTAATATAGCTTGAATTTGATTTGATTCTTCAGCTGATTTTATATCAACTGGAGTACCAGATATAATTAAAAGAAGAATTTTTGTTTTACTTGAATCAATTGTATTAAGAACATCTTTAAGTAATTGTGATTGATTATTAGGTAAATTCATTGATGCACGATCATTTCCTTCTCCTTCAATTTCTTGTCCTGTACCTAATGAAAGTATAATTAAATCAAATGAATCCGTTTTTAAATAATTTATGATATCTATTTGACTATAATTTAAACATTTAGTTCCATCTAAACATGCTTCATTATAACTTGTATTTAGAAAACAATCTTGTAATGAACTTAATGGTGTTGTTACATAATAAGGATCAACAATAGGTGAATAATCACCATATTGTTGTATAGGATTATTTGACATTGGTCCAAGAAAAAGTACATTTAAAAATAGCTTTGGATTACGTATTGGTAAGAAATCTTCTTGATTTTTAAGTAAAACAAATGATTGAAGCGTTGTTTGTCGTGCTAAATATCTATGTGAATCAGATTGTATAATATCCATTGAAATTTTATTATAATCATTCATTTCAATCGGATCAAATTCTCCAAGACGCATTCTTGTATACATTAATGGTTTAACACGTTCAATTAATGTTTGATTATCTATTTTTCCTTCATCATATGCTTTATGTAATAATTCAAACATCGTTGCATCAGGTGAATCAGCTAATTCTAAATTAACACCAGCTTCTAATGCAACAATTGCAGCTTCTTCATTTGTATTAACATAATGATGTTCAATATTCATAAATACTAATGCATCATCATCTGAAACAACATAACCAGTAAAATTCATTCCTCGACGAAGTATATCTGTTAATAGACGATTATTAGCACATGATGGAATTCCATTGATAGAATTATATGAACACATGATACCATAACTACCAGCATTTACACAAGCATGAAATGCAGGAAGAAATGTTGAACGCCAATCAAATTCTGACATTTGTACATTAAATGAAAAACGTGATTGCGGAATATTTTCTGGACCATTATGTGCATCAAAATGTTTACAACCTGCATTTGTATTAAGATAACGTGCAGATAATGGTCCTTGAAGACCATGAACAAAATAAATAGCAAACATGCCTGATAGATAAGGACATTCACCATAAGTTTCTTGATTTCGACCCCATAGTGGATGTCGCATTATATTAATAACTGGTGAAAAACAACTTAAACCACGATGTACACCATATAAACCTTCTTTACGATAAACATTATAATGTGCATGAACTTCATAAGCTGTTGCATTTGCAACAGCTTTTACTAATTGTTTATTCCATGTTGATGCAAGATTAATTGCTTGTGGAAAACCAGTTGAATTTTCACTTATATCACCTCGTAAACATTCAGTACCCCAAGAATAAGGAAGTATTTGTAAACGTGGTATAGGAGGTGTTACACCATCATTCCAACCACCTCCATATGCCATTTGATCAATAATTTCATGTGGAGTAAGACGTGATACAAGATCATCAACACGTACTGACCAATCCAGTGAAACATTTCGAAAAGGAAAATATTCGTCATGGTTACATTTGCCTTTTATTAATCCTATCGATAGAAAAAGTAAAAAATACCACGCCATAATCATGTTGCGACTCCTAGTATAGACCACAATAGAATATATACTATTGACATTAAAAGGAGGAAAGAGAACAAATAAATAACGAATGTGATGGTAGCTAGCTAGTTAAAGAGAGAAAAAAACAACGTCATGACTCATACACTCAGCACATGATCAAGCCTGGCTAAAAAGAAGACGCAGTAAGGAATCAATGTATAAACTCGGTCAGTTTTAGATTACGATGGATCGTTTTCTAGCATATTTTCGTCCTCAATCATTACTTTTGCTTTCTCCCATACGACGATTATCATCATTTAAACCAAAATCATTTGATTTAAAAGCACGTATTGTTGGACGTAAAAAAACACTTCGTGCTTTATTAGATTTAGTTGATCAATTGGATGCCTCCTATTTAACTTCAGAAAAAAATTCATCTACCCCACCATTAGTTGTTGATACTACATATTTATCACTAAGAGATCCTAATCCACGTTTTCCATTACCTGGACGTATTGGACCAGATCAACAATCAAAAACTATTTCTACACAATCAATACCAAAACTTGATCCAAATCGTTATGGTATAGATGGTAAACTTATTTTAGATGAAATATTAACAATAACTTTACCGGTTGATCATCAAAAAGATTCAATAATACAATTAATGGGTACACATATGATTTTATCATCACCAACAAACAAAACAGAATTTCTTTCGAATTTAATTAATCATGATAATTTAGAAATTCGTGCATATGATTGTCCATCATTATTACGTTATGAATTACATCGTTTATTTTTAAATTATAATGTTTTAGTACAACCATTAACAGCTATAACAATTATATTGAAAACAAATTCTGATATGTCAACATGGTCTCCTAAAGTAGAAGAAGAAAGAAATGACTTAACAGATCAATTTATTAAATTAGCACATGAAATGTGTGCTTATTTAACTGCAAAACAATATTGGGCTGATTTCATTGATCCATCTAGTGGTCGTCCTTATTATGGTCCACATACATCAGATACATTATTTGAAACTGATGAACGTTTTCGTTATTTTGGTATAAATATTGTTGATTTAGGTTGTTGTCGTGTTGTTGAACATTTACAACATGGTTAGTATAAGTTTTTTCTATAGAAATTCGTCCTACGATTAAGAAAAAAAAAATACCATAATGAATATTATTTTTTTTGTTTTAGGAACACATATATTTGTTGGTTGTGTATTTACAAGTGCATTGAAGAATGATCCAAATGTTCAACATCTTCTCAAAGAATTTGCAACTCCTCATCTAAAAAACCAACCACTTCAAGACGCAACAGAAAACAAGAATGACAATGATTCCGTTTTGTCAGCCATTAATTTAGAATAAAAACTTTAAATTATTTTAAAGACATTTTCGATTTGTATCTCCTCATGACTTCTACATATAGATAGTAAAGAAAAAAAAGCAGGAGATAATCGTCAATGTATATTATATATTATTGCTTCTTCTATAAATAAACATGAAATATACAAGAAAACTATCATTGATTTTATTTAAATTTATAGATATAATGGAAGATTTAGCGAAAGCTTTAGCAGAGTATCATGATCCACGGACGGATCTTGTTCATAAACAACATTTGCATGAACAATTAAATAGATTTTTAATCGATCAAAATTCATGGCAAATAGCATTAACAACATTTCAACGAAAACAACACGATCAAACTATGGTACTGTCTCCATTATTAATTTATTTTTTACTTCAAGTACTTGAACATTCAATTCGTCATCGTTATGGTGATCAACAACAAATTCGTCAGATACTTCTTTGGCTTTTTCTTCATCTATTTGATTATATGCCTGTGTATGTTCGTTCAAAATTATGTTTACTTATTGTACAAAATGTTCGTTGTGATAATCAATGGTCATTAGATGAATATTTTCAAACTTGTTATCACGTAAGGTCAGTGTTTGTTTCTAATACTGATAAAAAAAGAATTGTTTTTTTTCTTTTAATCTTTTATGATAGTTAATTGAAACACAACCATCCGTGGGCTTATTAATTTTAACTACAACAATCGAAGAACTTGGTCAATTAAATGAAGATTGTACTATAAAGCGATGTAATCAATTGAAAACTATACTCAATCAACATGTTCCACATATTATTCAAATTATCCATGTTTTATTAAATAAAGAAAATCATCTATTAAAAGGTAATTTTAGATTTTCTTTTTTATATGAATTAATAGAAAATATAAGATTTAAATGAATTAAATTATTAACAATCTTAACTTCATTACACTTTACATAAAAAGTTATCAAGCATTGTTCGAAGTTTTCAAATAACATCAATGGACGATATGTCTTGAGAAAAAAAAATTTTTTTTGAAATTCTTACCAGAAGATATAGATTTTACTTTTAGCATACTTTCAAATCTTTCTTGCTTTAGGAATGTAAATAGAAATTTTCTGAACAGTTAAACTGATCGTCTATCACTATATGCATTAAGCTATATAAAACTATAAACTTTTTATATGAAGCATACGTTTCAAATTTTATAACATCTCTTACACATATAAAACCACTTACACCGTTTTATAGATTTTCTATCTTTTCTTTCTTAATATTTCTTAAATTCTATACAATAGTGTGATAAAACTTTTTATATTAAAATTTTTTTGAAATATAATTTAGATCCATTATTAGTAAAACAACAGGTATTGATATGTTTGGATCGTCTTATTAATCGTCTTTCAATCCTTCCATTACCATTACAATTAATTGATGATCTATTTCATTATGCATCATCAACATGGTCAATAGATGCTCTTAATTGTATTCATGAATTAATACTTAAACAACATCTACCACGACAATATGATTCAATTCTTCATTCATCACTTCGTCATGTGATTCATTTAGTCTTAATTGTCAATCAAAATTTAACAATAATAATAATAAATAAAATAACTGAAATTTTACATTCACTATTTAATTTACATTTACAACGATGTGAATCTATTGAAGATTTTCCAATGTTTGAATTATTAACTGCTTTTTATAAATTTACAATTCAACAAGTAAAAATCAATAAATTTGTTTGTTTTTTTTTTATAGTAAGTCTGCTTTCTTTTTGTAAAATAGACTACACAAGATGGATTTTATGCTTGTTTGGATATTTGGTCAATATTTATTGAGTATATAAAAACAAAAGATGAAATTCGAATAATAAATAAAGAAAATTCATTCGAAAGGTAATGCAGTTTCGTTTTTTTTGCTTTAAATAATTAAACAAAATAAACTTTGATTATTTTAAAATTAGATATTCACAAATTTTACGTTCCTTAAGTCAAGAATTAATACAACGAATTCATAATGGACAAACAATAATAAAAAATTTACAAGAAACTACTGATTTAAATGATGTATACATATCCTTGACTTAAATTTTCATTTTAATTCATGATTTATTTATTCTAGTCTGAAACAGCAATTGATCGATATATACGAGAATCTGTTGATGTACTAAGTAAATTAGCAGACATTCCTTATCTTTCATCAAATATTTTAAATTTACTGGTGAGAAAATAATTCAATTATTCTTTCGATTTTCCTATTTTATTTTATTGATTTAGATAAATCTTTTACAACCAGATATTGAAAAATATAAAAGTATTCAAAAATTAATTCAGATTTCACCAAGTAGGATTTTTGAGAAAACCAAAAATGATTATTTTTATTTTATTTTATTTTAAATTAGATTCTTCTCAACAATATTTAGTGATAAATAATGAATCTATCGGTGTTTGTAGTCAAGTATTGAATAGTCTAAGTTATTTACTCTATGCATTTTCACGTATTGCAAATTCTTGTCTACTTGATACTACTAATATACAACAAAATCATTTTCAAACTAGTCTAACACTTGTACATGAGTAAGAAAATATTTTGAAGAAAATGATATATAGATAATGATTAGAAATTTTTTTTTTTGCAAGATTCGTTCAATTAATTATTTATATAAGTCATACTCGATTCGATTTAATTCATTGTTCATCGAAACAATTAAATAATGAGTTTATTAATGTGTAAGTATACTTTGTAAATAACTAATAAAGATTATGGATGAAAAGAGAAGCATTGATTTGAAAACTTTGTAAATTACTTAAGAAGTCTTCTAACTGATTCATCGCTTTTGATTCAAAACTATGTATATCATATAGACCTCGAAGATCTATGAATACTCTATAAAAGAATATGGATCTTTGATTTATTGCTGTAGAGATCTTTCATTTTCTTCGATTTTGTTTAACACAATACCATGGCTATAACAGTAAACTTGATTTTAGAATTTCTATTTGAAACATTGCATAGGGACAAATATGAATGAGAATAGTTTACGGTGAAAGTTTAACATGATTTCATCGTACTTATCCTAAAATCTAGTAATGGTAAAGGCATGTCTTTTAAATCGCTCATATACATCGGCAAATTCGATCTCTTGAGATTATTGACATCAAAAATGTTGCAGAACAAGAGAGTATTTCATGAGCATTATGCCACAGGTTCGCCTCTTTTAAAAGTATTCATAAGGTTCATTGATTTGAATCTATCGTTTTGAGATGAGTGTGACTTGAACAGCTTGAAAATCTATAGTTTTTACATATAAATTAAAATAAACTGTAATAAATTTGTTTTCTTTCCTTTTAGTCAAACACGATCTTTTGAATGTGTAACTAATTTAAGTCAATGGTTTAATCAAATGTTGATTCTATATAATTCAAATCAAGATAATCACCGTATGCTTCAAGAGTTGATAACACATATTATTGATAATTGTGCACCTCTAATCGATGGAAATGTATGTACATAAAACGAATAAGAATTAATCAAAAGAATATTCAAATAATCTATTTATTTTTAGAATTCGGATAAACCCATTACTATATCAGCTGGTTCTCTTCTTTATTCTATTATTCCTCTTACTCGTCAACATCTAACTTTCAATGAAATGAATTCTATAAAACATTTAATCCATCGTATTCTTACATGGAATGTTATATCTGATTCAAAGACTAATATTCAAGTAATTTTTTTTAGACATGTAAACATTCATGAACATGATCCTTCATATCTTTTTTGTTTAGCTTTATAAATTAGCAATAAAAATAGTATTATTATTAATTTTAACTGAACAACAATCAGCTGAACATTTTTTTCGTACAATATTTCAACCATTAAATACAATTTTAAATGAAACTGTACATTTTTTTAATCATCAACAAGAACAATATTTAATACGTCGGTCATTTCTTGAATATACAATATTACTTACGGAATTAATTGAATCAATTCGTACAGAAAACAATAAAATACGTCAAAATTTTTTTTCATCAATACAGTATTTAATTATAAATTTAAATCGTTTTTTACCAAGAATTGTTAATCGAGATACAGGTTTGAATCTTTGTTTTTTTTTTCAAGATTTAAAAAAAAATTCATGTCCATCTGAATTATTGAAATTAAGATAAATGCATGGAAGAATTCTTGAGGGAGCTTCATTACGATAAATTATTGATTTTTATCAAAAAAATATTTCTTTACATAAATGACCATTTTTTTGAGAATTTTTCGAGGTATTGAAGTTGTCATTCTTTTCCTACGCATAGAAAGTAAGCATTTAAAAAAAAGACTACCGAAGCCTAATATTTTTTTCAAATAAACTAAACTAAATTTATCGAATGAGATCTTTTAAAGAATTATGAATTGCCAAATGAGCTACTTTTGACCTTTATTTGTTGAATTTTTTCCGAAAACTTTACCATAGTCTCTTCATTACACCTCCAACATATCCTGAAATTTTCATGCGATTTGAATATATTTAATCCAAGATCAATTATATATGAGGATAGAATGGGATGGTCTTATTATATTAAATAAATTTTTCTTTGTAGAATGTGAAACAGTACTTATTTCATTATTATTAACTTGTTTCGAGATACTTCGAACACAAATGGGTACAGAATTAATAAATACTATTTTACAAACAACATTTTCTGTATTTAATATGTTTGTATTAATTTCATTTGAAAAAATTTATTTATTTGAAATTTAATTTTGCTTTAGTGAAAATATTCGAAATGTTCTGCGTGAACCAAAACCTACTGCTCATACAGCTATTTCAAGGTAAATCAAATTTTGAAATGAATTCTTGTCTTATTTTAATCATATCATTGTATTTAGATTTCTTGAGTTTTTATCATTACTTGTTAATGAACCAGGAAATAGTAAATTAGCACAACAATTTTTACCAACAATTATTGAATTATGTACAACAGCTTTATATCCAGCTATTCGAGAAGTAAAATTTTCTGTTTATTTTTCTTGCTAGTTTTATGTATTTATGTTGTTTATTTAAGAATTTCACTTTGGATATTCGAGAAAATTATTATAAACTTGTTCATAATTTATTAATTAATAATTGGCGATATTTCTTTAAAGGAAATGTTTTAACGACATTGAATGGAGATACTGAAACAACTGCTAATGAACATAGTTTTATTCAATTAATGGAGGTAAAAACAATAAATATTTCTTAAATTTATCGAAACACACATCGTTAAGTGTTTAAAAACAGTGTAGACTGATTTGATCAAGTATTGAAATATCTAGATTCAATAGTAAAGTTTATGAAAATTTCGTATAACATTTAAAATTAGCAATATTATAGAAATTAATTTTGATAAATAGTACAATATATCAATAAAGCTAAAAGAATTTTTTATGTTAAAAATTTATTCCAGAATCAAATTAAATCTTATCAGAAGAAAAACTATGATTTATTCGCAACTAAACTTTTGATCACGAAATTTATTTTGATATTCATCTGAAGCTTTTTTGTCAAATGATAAGAATTATAATTGTCTCTTTGAATCTAATCATGAGTTCTGAAGCAATAACATTGTCTATCAACACATTAAGCTTGCATAAAGTCATTGTTTAAAAGAAAAATCTGTTTTACTGTATTTTGTTCTGGAAAACATCGTAAATATTGAAATAGATTCGATTCATAAAAATTTTTCAAACTATCCTTCTATAGACTTATAATTAAATTTTTCGAAAGAGGTTCATATCATAATATCGAGATCATTATCAAGTTTGTACATCTCAAATTGATACAAATCTCATCTGCTATCTTTTTTTTTTGATCTATTTCAATCTCATCTACCTGAATTACTCAAGGATCTACTCTCAACTTATTTAAAGTCTTTGAAATGTTTTTTTTTCCAAGTCAGCGAATTTCTAAAACTCAATTACATTTTCTAAATGTTATGATTTTTTTTTGTTATAGACCTGTTTGTAGAATAACATTTGATGATTTTACATGATAATGAAGCTATTTTTTTTTAGATAGTTTTAAATAGAAACTTCATAGCTAGTTTAACATTCAGTATTTTAATACAATTTTTTATTCATCTAGAGTATTGCATGGTCGTTTTCGCAATCAGATATCGAACAATTTCGTGCAAATATATCATCATGTAATGAACTTCAATCAAAATGTGGTCTTTATACAAAACCAATATTTCATCAACATATGTCACAAGCACTTCTATCACTATTACTTACTGTCTTACTTGTTCGTTCTCATGAATTATGTCGTGATGATATTATATCAACATTATTTTATATATTAACAAATGATAAAACAAATAATTTCGTTTATTTTATTCATAATTATTTAGAACAATCAAATATAAAAACGGTTTTAAATGATAAACATAAACATATTTTATTAGAAAATTACGGTCGAAATGAAACGGTTTGTTACATGTTTAACTCATTAGGATATAATGAAAATTGATTAATTTTCGATAGTTATTTTTTCAAAAGAAAAGTTTTATTATGAACATTAATTGAATAAGAAAATTCTATAATTTTGTTTTACATTTAAGGATTTACCATCATTTGCACAAAATCTCAATAATTTGATACATGACTATCGGCATTATACAACGACAAATTCAACTTGAACTATCGATTGTGCAATATCATTGCCTTGCTGTTTTTAAAACTTCTTTTCTGTATTTTCAAAACAATCTTTAATATAAAAACAGAATGAAAAATAATAATAACAATGGAATACTGTAACTGATGACTGTAATAGATATGTTCTCAAATAATGGATTGGCTCATCCGAACTCATATCGAAAGATATACTTGCTTCTAAATTGAAGAAAATTTTCAAAATATTGTTGTAGGCTCCGCCATCAATGGCTTATTTAATTTAACTTAATATAATCGAGACAATACATTAGTATGTATACATGCAGATAATAAAGGAAAGAAACAATAGAAATTCTGCAATGAATTCAAGTTTTTGTCGATGAATCGAAAAATTCATTCTATAAAAAAAATAAACGAGAGGAGTTGTTCTAATGTGATTTTTGTTGATCGCTATAAGTTTTTCATATCTTCAAGAAATGAACAACAAAACTGATCAAGGTCAATAATTAAGATTCATATGAAGACGAGTGAGACAAATGACCATTCCTTTTGAAAGTTTTTCTGTTTCTTATCAATTGTGATGATGCTCATGTGTCTCTAGATTCGAATGTTTTTTTTGTATGCAGCACATCCGACATTGGCCACTTCATATCTGAGATTTTATTGTGAAATCTTTCAAATGTATCGTATTCTTCCGTCATACCGAATGTCAATGCCCATACTCTTCATTTTTTTCCATGGATTTATATTCATACCTACTTCGAACGGACGGTGACATTTCCTCTACTTACAAATAGCGGAATACAGCGTGTGAGTGTGCATGGATGAGCATGTTCCCATTACCCACATCTATTAATCTTACACACAGCCATACCTATGAGAATATAAGGATAAGAAGAGCAAAAACCTCCAGATCCAATAAAAGAAAAGAAAAAGTGAGAAAGTGTACAATATTTTGTGGCGATACATGTCTTTTCTTTTTCATATTCTCATGTTATGGTGATACTGCAGATAAGAAGCTTCAAAAAAAAGAAGTGAAACACGTATATGAAACTAAAGTAATCAAAACTTCAACGACAACAATAATTGAAAACACATAAAAACATCGAAAAAAAAACATGCTATATAATTTTCAGTTATCTTATTTTATTTTTTCCATCGATAAGAAACAACACTTACCATGAACACAGAAAAAGTCGGCAACAACAACTGGTGCAGCTGCTGCTACCGCAACAAATGAATATGGGAACATAAGGCCATAACGGACTCATTATGGTCGTATTATTCAAAACTTCGTTTTGATATGGCTCGATACCATATCAATGACATGAACAACAACAATTGCATTTGTATCATCAGCAAATTAAAAGACATGGTGAACGAGGTACATTTATACACTATGGTAAATGAATATATTGATTGTATAACTGATTTTCAACAAGAGAAACTATTCGTTATTTTTTTTCTGATGACTTCGGACAAAAAACTCTTTCCATCGTCCATGACACACTACAAATCAATACTACCTATATTTTGAGTGAGAAACGAGTTCGACATGATAATTCTATTAAACAATGGCTAAAAAATCATCGGCATATTTACAGATATAGATCCTATATCTCAAGCTCTTTCATAAGCGACACGAGAACATAAGCAAAACATGTATTCAATCAGTGTTTTACCACCAATAGAGAAATTAGCAAGCCAACATATATAAGTAGTACGTGAGTAATTTTACAGGTGAACACTTGCGCATGAGTAAAAAGAGAACGAAAGACAGACAGTAATAGAAAGAAAAATAATGATTTTGAGAGAGAAAAAGAAATAGCTGCTATACTTAATGATAAAAATATTTTGAAAAAATCTGTTGGAGACCATAGAATGCTTATTTTTTAGAATTGATACACAATACTCAGTTTTTTATAATCCTTCAAACGATGTAACTTTAATTAACTCCACGAGATTGATAATTTGTTATCTGTCACAGTCTCATGGTCCTTGGTATTTTTTTTCGTTCATGTGATATAATTGCAACTGAATTACATGGCTGTGTTTGACCTATTATGCATGAAGAAATAGAAATGAAAGATATTAGAGAGACATCTTGTTATAATTTATTTTTCTTTTTGTTTTTTGTTGAAAAAGGCAAGTAGCACGTTTGAATATTATTTGTTCTCAACACAAACACGATTCGTCTCTTCTTGACTTTTTTGTGTAATAATTGTAATAAATGATGATGCAAAAAGAATGGTGATCTGAGTATGATGTAAACGTCTCATGGGTGTTTCATCGTTGAGACTTCGTTTTTTTTTCTAAAACGATTTTGCTTTCAAATCACTTCAAACTAATGTAAAAACAGTTTGTACACGCTGTAACCATAAGAGCAATCTATAAACATTTAAATGAATCCTACAAATTAATCCAGAAGTCGGTTGAACAAAGTTACAGAGCAGTTACTCCTTCAATCCCCACATTTCTATTCTTTTCCATTCATTAATTTTCACTGAAATTTTATTGAGAACCACGCAAAATTTAAGCAGCATACCATACGCTCACGCTGGTGTGATAGTTAATTCGGGTTACCGGAATTTCGCCAATAAGACTTTCGCAATTTGGACTTTCGCCATTGGCGAAAGTCCACTGTGCTTTCGCCAATGTACCTTCCTGACATTCACCAATTGGCGAGTGTCCATTGATCTTTCGCCGGTTTACGGTCCTCACATTAGCCAATTGGCGAATTTCCACTGGTCTTGCGCCGGTAAATTCTTCAGATATTGGGCAATTGAAAAATGATAGTGGCATTAATCGGAGAGATCAGCAACAAATACATGATAAGAAAATTGTTGGAAATAACATGATCAAAATTTTTATTTGTAGTTTTAGATTTATTCGAAATAAGTCTAATATCATTTGTGTGTTAACAAGTATGAAGTATAACACATTGAACATCTGTTCATATCAATACATAGGTAAAAAGTTTAGTATATATGGTATGATTTCGAGTTTTTCAGATAGCTATTGGTAATCATATGCCTGTTACTACTTGTGCAGCAGCATTAAGAAATTCATCAGTATATTTTTTGGAAATTCGCCAATTGGTGAAAGTTCAGTCGACATTTACCAGTATATCTGTTGGACAGTCGCCAATTGGCGAAGATCCATTGAACTTTCGCCAATAATTGGCGAAAGTCAAAATTGGCAAAGTTCCGGAATCCCGATATTATCACTTGCAATTTTAAAGATGAATGTGAGCATACCTGTAGATGTATCGGTCGGTATGATTGAAGTAAGAGTCCTGTTGGTATCCACCTAGTTACCCACACCAAAGCCAAAACCTGCTCATAACAAAGCATAAACGAGAGACGGATCTAATCTATGTGAGATAAGAGCGAGGAATGAACTGATAGCATTTTAGATCGTTTGTTTGTACAGTTGACTGATCACTCATTTCTATTTATCTAATAGAGATCATCGGAATAATTTGTTATTAACTTATAATCTCAAGAATACTAATAAGAAGAAATTAACTATAGATTCGTAATAGTTTCTTATCAATATCTTGAAATAGAGCTCGTCACAAGAAATGCCACAATCAGAAAATTTTCGCTAAATGTAAAAAAATCATTTGCAAGGAAATAATTAATATGAGCGCGCTGATCAGTCGTCAATAAGCTGTTAGTGACTTATTAATGACTCAACAAATTTCATAGAGGAAGAAACCCGACTCTCGCATACATCACCGTTGCTACGTCACTAATTTACCAGTCTTCGAGATCTTTAGGACTTGAATCATTACTTGTTTATGTCTCCTTCAAACAACGTAGAGCTATTCGTCACCCAGTTCAAACAGAGGTAACAGTATCACTATAGAAAAGGATTAAGCTCAATGGCATTATTTCCTCATCTATACAGAGAGATTACATGCTCTTCTTTGAATTTTTTTCATTCAGCAGTCTGATATTTATCGATATGAATCGACATAAACGGAGTATTATTATTTTGATTTTATGGCAAGCACTGCTTCGGTGATAGCTGAGATCTAAGACATTCGTTTTTTATGCATATTACATTTTCTTTGTCCGAGTAAAGGGTTCTATCCTACATTGTATGCATAGGAGCTATCAACCTCATTGCTTCGGCCGTCTAATGCGAATGAATCTCGTTCGCTCGATGGTGAAAATGAACAAGTCAGTTATTTATATATGAAAGTTGCATATCTCTACAATGTATTGTACTGTTTTAGGTTGTTCAAGAAGCGCTACAACGTGCAGCTGAAAACCGTACGTCGATCATCATCGCTCATCGCTTGTCTATGATTTGCAATGCTGATATTATCTTCGTGATGCGAAGTGGTCGCATCGTTGAAACCGGCAACCACGACGAACTCATGGCCCTGCCGCAAGGAGTCTACGCGCGATTGTATAAACTCTGAACACATTCACTAGATGAATAAAATTGATGAATTTCTCTCAACAATTCACTTTTTTGCTCACTATAATTAGAAGTATAGGACATTACTCGCATGTGATTCATCACTTATCAGAGAACAAGAAGGGTTTATTGACTGATGATCATCAATGGCATGTTGGGGAAGAACAGGCAAAGTGCATCAATTGATGACATGATGAGAATACAGAGTATATGATGAAGATATAGATGATATGATGAAAGTACAGAGGATATGAAGAGGGTGCAGAGGATGCTAAGTTTCTTTTTTCTTTTCTTTGATAAAAATTGATGGCGTGAAATATACTGAACAAGTCAAATAGAAGTTTAGTTTTTTTTCTTCTATACCATTTGTAATTTTTCCAAATTTAGATTCATTAGATCGCATAAAACGATGTACTCAGTGTCAGAATATATGGCACAGCGCATTCCAAGCTCTTTGTAATCGATAAGAGTTCTTTAGCAGCATTGATTTGCCTATATTTGTATTGAATCTATCATATACATTTAGTACCTTCTCTGTTCTATCATATTGTATCCTCGGTATCTGCAATATATTCTGTGTATCTCATGTATCCGG